ACCCAGATTACCTCAATATAACAAATTGGCAAGAAGTGATGTACAATGTAGAATATGTTCCTCCAAAATATAACAACACTTGTCTCACTTAGGCAGATTTACCTAATACAATTTATCTTTTTATTTCCTGACTGTTGGTGCCAAGAGTGTTGATTGTAGAGCTGAGCAAGCTGTAACCGTTAACAACCTCAGTCTCTTCTCCATCCATCATAGTGCTGCCAATTGGCCCAGTGGTGAGAATCTTTGTCTTCTTGGTGATGAGCTTCAATCCATATTGAAGACTATAGTCCTTGCTCTTCTGAAGCAAGCACTCCAGATCCTCCTTAGTTTCAGGAAATAGATGATTTCTACCAGCTTGTGCAGTCAGAAATTGATTGAATATGTAACAAAGATGCACTAATAATAATGAGTGACTGGAATGCAAAAGTTGGGAACCAGGAAGAGGGATTAATAGTCAGAAAAATATGGATTTGGTGACAGAAATGAGGCTGGGGATAGAATGATAGAATTCTGTACAATCAATGATTTATTCATACCAAATACCTTTTTTCCATAATAAAAAAGAAAATATTTTACTTGAATATATAAATATTTTTGCATGAATAATATTATACAAAATATTTTCTTTTATTTACATGTATATTTTGTATAATAATTTGTGTAACATTGAGCACCCTTTGAACTCTGCACTTTCTCTATTTTTTAGATTGTATTTTATCAATTTTAATGAACATTTACAGAGACTTTGGATTTTCATTCATTTATTGTTGCATTTTTCTCCCTGCCCACCCTCCCCCCCCCAGTTCGCTCTTCTCTTTGAAAAGTAAAAGAAAAACCAAATACCTTTTATAAGAAACATAAACATAAGTTGGACTATATGAAGAAGGATGTGGCATCAGGAAGACTCATCAATAAACTGGTTATACGGATGACACAGCATTGCTTCCTGAAGGTGAGGAAAAGTTGAAGCACTAGCTGTAGAAGATTAAAAAATACAGATGTTAATATGGATTACAGCTCAATATCAAGTGAAAAAAACCTTCACCACTAGAAACAGATGATAACTGTTGTTGGGAAATCAAAAGATGAATTGAAGTGAGCTCTGGTGGCCTAATGGCAAGAAACTGCAGTGCAATCCTAGAGGGGAGCGGTTCAAATCCACCAGATGCTCTGCTGGAGAAGGAGGGACAATCTCCAGTCAGATCCAATCTGATGGTACATACACAAAAAATTAATAAAAATATAACAAAATAAAAAAGATTAATTGAATTGGGAAATCTTGAAAATCCAGGAAACATGATGATAAATGGAGAAAATATTGAACTTGCCAATAATTTCATTTTCCTGGGATCCACAATTAATATCCATAGTAGCAGCAGTCAAGAAAGAAAAAGATACGTTGTCAATAGAATAATAAGTAGCACTAAAGAACAATCAAGTATTTGTAAAATGTAACACACTGGGGAGAGTTTAGAAAGTATTGTGTTGAGTAAAATAACTCAGTCACAAAAAGACAAATGATGCATAAGAGCACTATTATGAATAGAGTAACTGAGTGAAGTATGTATAACGGGAAAAGGAGAAGGGAGAGAGGGCTGAGAAAGAAGGGATTCACTACGATAGTAGAAGTTAATGGGTGGAAGAAGAAGTGAAGACACAATAGAGACTTAAAGAGATGCAGTGATAAAAGTCATGATCAATAGCAATTAAGTAAAATGCAACATATATGAATTATTGTTAAGATACAATGTACATTGATGAAACACAATGCATATGAATAATTGTATGCAAACCAATAAAATATTGAAAAATATTTTTTTAAGAAAAAGATGTGTTGCATTGGAAAATCTGCTGTCAAGGGCTTCTCCAAAGGGCTAAAGAGCAAGGATGTCTATTTAGAGACTAAGGTGAACCTAATCCAAGCATTGTCTTTGAAATGTCTTCCTATACATCTGAAAGTAGGACAGTGATTAGTGGCAACAGAAAAAGAATCAATCCTTTGAGTTGTGGTGTTCAGAAGGGCATTGAATATTCATCCCACGGATTGCCAAATGAATGAACAATTCTGTTCTGAAGGAAGTGCAACCAGGGTGCTTTGTTGAGGTAAGGATGGTGAGATTTTCTCACACAGACCTTGGGCATGCTGTTAGGAACAACAATCCTTAGAGAGTTGTGTCATGCTGGGAAAGGTGAAGAGTCAGAAAAAGACTAGAAGACCTTCAACAATATTAACAGTAACTGTAACAATGGGCTTGAGTATATCACAGGTAAAGATGACTCAGCATGCGGCCACGTTCAGATCTGTTGTTCACAGGGATGCTGGGTCATAGTTGACTCAGTAGCACCTAGCAATAATAATATATGCATGCGTATATACATGTTTATAAGCATGTTTTCTACATGCAGACATCTATACTGACACTTTTTAAAAATTGATACTCTTATGTCGTCCAGGGATCTTAATTGCTGCATTGCATTTTTGAGGTGCTAGAATTTCCCTCTAATTCGAAGCATAACACAAGAGCAGCTGTTTAATTGAGAGTAAATAGGGATATGGGGAAAGGTATGATTTTTTTTAAAATAGTGGAATCAGTTTAAATAATAGAGAAATAATTTTGATGGCCAATTGACCCCTACAGAAGACAAGAATTCAATTTCATGATACTTACATACTACATAAAGGTTATTTAAGAGACTGATAGTAAAAAACTTAAGCCCCTAATAACTGGTCCCAATCAAAATCCCTGCTTCATGAACTTTACAAATGCTTCTATTGCCATGAGAAAACGATGCTTCACACAGGTACTAACAGAGCTGACATGCGTCCTTTGAAAGACATTATCAATGGCTCCACTTTCTCTTCTTCTGCTCTATCTTGTCACCATCTGTGATTAAAGTTCCCTAGGATTCTGATGTAGATGGCTTCTGCCCTTTAAAGAAGCAGTGGCACTTCACGCACACTCATCACAGAGAAGGAGACTGATAAGCTGTGAGTAGATCAACCTGGAAGGGCACCATCATCTGCACTGGATTGTTTGTTTGTATATATACATGTGAGAGAGTGCACTGATGTCAGAGTCTGCATGTAGAGAGCTAAATGTTAACCCAAAGTCTGTACTTCTCTGGCTGTTTGAATCCATCTGGTTCCACAGGAGAAGGATGGACAATATCTTTTTGTGTGATTTACAACCTTGGAAACCCTCTGGAGGATCAGCACTGATTTGATTCCAATTGGATGAGCTATGTTGTTGTTACGTGCTGTCGAGTCGCTTGCAACTCATAGCGACCCTATGCACAACAGCCCTAAACTCTGCTCTGTCCTGTGCCAATCGCACTGTCTCCGACACACTCATCCCAATTGCCTCAGTCACCGAATCAATCCACCTCCCAGAGGGCCTTCCCCTCCTGCGCCTGCCCTTCACCCTCCCAAGCATGATGTCTTTCTCCAAGGACCGGTCTCTCCTTACAACATGACCAAAGTATGTCAGACGAAGTCTCAGAATCCTTGCCTCCAAGGAGCAGCCCGGTTTAACCCTCTCTAGGTTGAATCTGTTTGTTTTCTTAGCAGTCCATGGCACCCTCAGCACTCTTCTCCAACACCAAAGCACAAAAGCATCAATTCTCCTTTTGTCCTCCCTGGTCATTGTCCAGCTCTCTGACACATAATAAGTGATTGCAAAGACCATGGCCTGTACCAGACGTACCTTAGTCTCCAGAGACACACCGTTGCTCTTTTTTTTTTTTTACCTTATACTGGTTTCTTCAAACATGACGTCCATGCCACGAATTGGGCAAGACAGAAACCTGGGACATGAGTAATAACTTATCTCAAGGTGCGCCTTTCCACGCTGGCGGAGCGAGCTCTTACACACAAAACTCACCCTGGCTTAAAAGGGCTCCCTGTCCGGGTGCAAGCCGGACTGCTCCGAAAGCCGCATCATGAAATAAGCGGCAAACAGCCGTGAGAGATGTCCCCACATGGGATCCTGACGCCTGCTTTTGCAGGAGCAGCTCCTGAGTGGCAGACTCCCGAGATCTCCAGAGGGGAACGCGAAGTGAGTTGGGAGAGGGAGGCCTGGTGCCTGCACCGAGCGCTTCTCCCAGCAAGCATGGCTGCAGCTGTCCAAGAACCAGAGGTGTCCATGGGCACACTGTTGGCGCACAAGGAGGAAACCCTGCTTGCTTACTGCCAAGATTCACTGGGGCTCGGTTTCCCAAGTACATTCTCCCGAAGAGACAAGTTGAAAGTGAGGACTCCCTTCTCACCAGAAGGCAACTCAGCTTTGCAGCCATTCTGAAGAAGAACTGAAATTCTGGGGAGGAAGGGAGGAAGTCTTAAATTATGGGTGTGAAAAAGACAGAAGGGGAAAGAAAATGGGAAAGATGGTTCCTGGAAGGTTCAAATGGTCTGCATTTAGAAACTAACTGAAACGTTTGAGGTTCAAATCCACGCAGAGGTGCCTCAGAAGAAAGGCCTGGTGATCCACTTCCAACAATGCAACCACTGGAATCCATGCAGAGTGCAGTTCAACTGTGATGCACATGGGTCACCATGTGCCCGAGTCAATTCAAAGGCAACAGGTGTGTGTGTGTGTGTGTGTGTGTGTATTTCCTAAAGAGTGAACACATCAACTGAACTCTTTCCTCAGATGATTCTGTGAAATCGGTTCAAGGTGAAGGTCTCTTTCTGAAGCATGAACTGTGCCCAGCGGGGACGGGAGGTTGCAGAGCTGTGACCTCGCTGTCACACGTCGTGGAGCGTCTTCCTGAGAAATCGGATGACAGTGAGGCAGCAGAGAAAGGCACTTGAAGATCCGAGAGCCAGGCTCGGGTGTGTCACCTCCCTGGTTGGGAGCCTGCACGTCCGTGTGGGAAGCTGTGTGTTGGTCCTTCCTCTCCACCGGTCCCACCTCACATCTAGGAGGCCACTGGGGATGAACCGGCCACGCGAAGGTCCGGCTTTGCATCTTCACCGCCAGGCCCGTGCGAGGCGCTGCCGGCTAGAAGTGGTGCTGGTGAAGGGCGGCTGGCGAGGGCCCGTTCTCCAGCCTCTTGACGTGGCAGGAGTGACAGAAGAGGTGGTCCTCCAGCGGGTAGCAGCGGTGGCCATCCTCATCATTGAGTTCTAGCCCGCAGTCCTCGCAGTGGTAACATTCCACGTGGTAGTCTCCGTCCATGGACACAACACGGATGGTTTCATCTGAGCCCTCAGGTGGAAGGATGGGGAGCCCGCAGGCAGCACACTTGGGGGCCAACACCTTGTGGTAATCGCGGACACAGTAGATCCTGTTCTCTGAGTCCACAGTGAAGGGCACCCCGTCCAAACACTCATTGCAGATGACACAGCGGAAACAGCCCGGGTGGTAGGATTTGCCCAGGGCCTGCAGAATCATATCCATGATCAGATGTCCACAAAGAAAGCACCTGTCGGCGGACTGCTGGAAGCCGGAGAACGTGTGTGGGAATCTCCTTTCTGAGGGATGGCAAAAAGTCATGAGGAGGGAAAAGGAGCAATGATTGGCTCAGTAAGAGGCTTCAATCCACAGGT